GGCGGGCCGACCTCCGGGCACCTTCCCGGCCCCGCGCGTGCAGAGGCGGGCGAGCGGCCGGTGCCCGGGAGCGCGGCGGAGAGCCGGGCGGGCCCGGAGCGCTGGAGACACCCCGCGCGCCCCGCGCCCCGACACCATGAGACCTGCCGCGCCTCCTCGCGGGCCCGGGGCTTCGCTCTCCGCTCGCTGAGCCCCTGCGCTCGCCACCACGGAAACTCGGAAAGCGGCGGCGAGGCGCCGGAGAGCCCCGCCGAGACGGACTCGACTTCCCCCCCGCCCCCGAGAGGCTGCCGGTCCCCGGTTCCCTGGGCTTCTCTAGCTTTATCATGAACCTGATGCAAGCTTGGCTTTAGGAGAAATTCAGAAGCCGGAGGGAGAGTCGAGGCAATTCTTTGGTTGCTAAGGTAATTGTAGTTGTGACAAAAATGGGCAAGAAACAAATGGGGGAAAGGGTGATTTAAAGCATCGCCCGCTCCACCCCATTCAGATGTGTTGATTTCATCTCCGGGATGTGGGTGCTTGTCCATTTCAGATACGTGACAGGTGCCGGTGTATGTGTGTGTGTCTGCAGTTTGGGACCGTAGAAGCACGAGCTTACATAAGTGGTTAGGCAAGCTGGCGTGTGGACTTGTGTGGGATGGGTGCAGGTCTGCATATAAATCATGTTCTGGGTTTCTGGGTGTGAAGCGCTCACCGCCTGGGACGACAGTGCAGAGGAAGGTGCTTTGAGATACTTGCCGTCTTCGATCTTGCGATCGCAGGTAGGGCAGCTCTACCCTCAAAGCAGACGTTCATTAACTTTTTTTTTTGAATAAGCTCGCCCATTTGTGGGTCGGAAGAAAAGCCAGCGCGTCTCCGCGGTGAGGTGTGGAGGGCAGGGCCGGGTGGCGAGGGCTGTTATTCAGGAACTGCGGTAGAAAAGGAAAGGGTAGTATTTGCTCTGAGAAGATGACTCCTAAATTTGTTGGTAAGGAGAGTGAAGAGACGGTGTTCACAGTCACTGTCAGGTTGCGTAAAAAGTGGCCCAATGAGACAGGGGAAGTGACCCAGAAAATTTAATTTTGTTCACAATGAAAGCTGCTATATTTCTTTTTCTTTTAAAAAATTTGACGGAGCAGGAACGTTCTTTTCTTTCTTTTTTGGTTGAGACCAGTGGTATTTCTATGCTACACATTGAAGGGATTGGGGTCTTGTGGGCTTAGAATTGTTCTTTCAGTGTTTCTCAGTGCTTAGTGGCTGAATCTGCAGCTCAGACCTGTTCCGAGCAGTATCTCTTAGCAGCCCCAAAGGAAGACTGCACAAATAATCAGATTAGGTAGCACCTCACATCGGACCCCTTTCTCTCCAAAGGGGATGAGAGAGGGAAGAAAAAGAACTAGGCTTGTACTGTCAGAATGGAGTTGGAGAATGAGCTACAAGTTTGTGTGTGTGTGGTGTGTCAAAAGTGTTAGAAAGGAAACCGTTAGGTTTAGCTTAATATGTTAACAACAGGATCAACTTGCATTGGCAAATGGGTGATTATGTGGAGTGGAAACTGGGATGTTGGTGGGAAACTTTCCATGAGTTGCATATTCTTATGTTTTATTCTTAATCTATTACTTCGCAATGGGTTAGACTACCCTTGTGAAAGAAAATAGAAGTAGGGAAATTTTAGACTTCTTGGAGAGACACCTTTGCAAACGGAAGCTCGCATGCTGAATTAGGAAAGTCAAGAGGATACAGTCTTCCTGAGTTCTACGAGACTATACCACTATTAAGCTAAGTTGTTGTGAAAATATAGTAATCTCGTGTGTGTGTGTGTGATAAACAATATGTAGAGAGTCTATTCCCAATAATCTGTCCTTTCCTGAAAGAGTCTGTACATTCTAGAAACGTCAGCTATTGGGCGTTTTGGTGATGAAGGAGAGAGAGACTGGCGCTTCCTTTTTCCTGTTCACTCCACTGGCTCTTAACTTCACTTCTGGTCTCCTTGAAGACATTTCAGTTAACATTCCTGAATTAATATTGCTGACAGTTTCAGTAAAACAATACTAGTTTTTCTCTGAAGCAACAAATTTGTCTTACCAAGTGAAACATGACAACTGTGCCTTTGTGGCAAAGATGTCTCTTTAAAGGAGCCCATTTTAATTATTTATTTTTTGGTCTGTGGAATAAAATAGCCAACGTAGACTTTCTTTTTAAGTGAGCAAACATTTCTCAAGAAAAAAAAAATTGAGGGTAGCTTGGTCTGTGAAATTTGCCAGGAATTTTGGATGTCTTATTGTTCACAGGGACAGAATTTTATGTGAAAGCAGGATCATTGTGTCTCTTATCTCTCTGGTCTCCTCCCATGCATTTTATCCCCTGACCTCCTAAGACTATGCCAGGAATTGCTGAACATTCTGTTTTGGGCCAGGGGTTAAACATCAGAGAGTTATGAGTAAGGAGTGGTGTGTCACATAAACATTTTTCAAAAGGCATGCTCTCAGAGATCTCAATACTAGGATTAATTTTCCCGTTAGCTTCCCAGTTAGCTTGTCTTAATTCAGAGTGCTTTGAACCTAGGAATGGATTTAACCTTTTGATTTTCAGTGCCAGCTGGAAGGAATATATTCACTGAATTTCATCCTCATTGTAACATATGGCATGATATAAATAATTACTATACACACAATATCCTCCTGTATGTAATTTTGAATTATAATACAAAATAAACCTTCATGTTGAGTGCTATGGGTATAATGTTTGAAAAAACAATTTCACTTTTTCCCTGATTGTAAAAGTAATATTTAGCTATTAGAAAAAATTAAAAAAAATAGAATTAATAAAAGAAAGATTATCCATAATCTCCCATGGAGGGCGAACCATTAATATTAACATTTCTTCAAACTGTATATTCTTCCAGACATTATTCTGGTCACATTCTTCATTATATTTCTACCTTCCTTCCCTCTCTTCCTCCAAAATTTTAAATCCTGTAAACATAACTTGAAGATGTGTTAAAGGTTTGGAAAATTACTGCTTGCTTACTGGATCATTTCTGATACATCAGATTTTAATTTTTGTCAGTGGTCCCTATTTTCAAAGAGAGTAGGTTCTCAACTCTTTGAAAACCAATGTTTTCAGAAATACTTGGGCGTCCCCATCAGAGTTAGAGATTAAAGCCTCAGAAAAGAAGTAGAAAGAACATTGGTTGCAACTCCTCCACCACCTTCTCGTGTAGTTTTTGGCTTCTGTTTCTTCTAAGGACAAATGACACTTTTAAATTTAGTTTGGTAAGCTAATGACATATTTGTCGCTTTGACATTTGATGAGCGTGCTCTTTGGAGAAAGCTTATTCAAACACAGATGGCTAGGGGGTCACCCTCAGTCTCCGATTCATTCTGTCTAGGGTAAAGCCTGAGATTTTACACTTCTAACAAGTCCCCAGATGATGCTGACTCTGAGGGTCTGGTGACCACACTGAAAACTAGAGGGTAAGTTACCTGAAGGCAAAGGCCTCGTTTCATTTTTCTTTGCATCCATCTTCCCAGTCTCCAGCAATGCACCTGCGAATAGGTGTTCAGTAAGTATTGATTGAATAAATATCAGTTTTCTCCAGGGGAGCATTTTTCTGATGTGGTCAAGATAAAGGAGGATAACCATGCAGAATCTGGAACCCTTAAGGATGGAGTGAAAGGCAGCCGTGAAAGCCAGTTCCTTAAACTGCAAGGAAAGCAAACATACTTCCAACGAGACAGTTAAAATGAACATTAAACCTAATCAGCTACATTAAATATCTAGAAGTATTTGCTTGAGATATTGCAAACCACGAAGCTTGCCAACTACTTCACCGTTGCCTCCCTGGGATTTTTAAGAAGCAACTTATTTTCTACTACATATACATACTCCAAAAGGGGGGGAAATCACTGTTAATTATCCCAATTATCAAAACAGCAGGTAAAGCAGGAATGGCACCTCCCTATGGTTCTTCCATCAAGAAAAGGGCAAAACAATACTTGTTGGTGCCCCAGCACTAGTGTATAAGATAGGTCCCCATTTTATGGCTAAGGAAATTTAAGACTCAGAGAAACAGATTAATCCACATAAGGCCACAAAGCTAACACTTGGCAGCATCAGAATCAGACCTCTCAGCTCTTCCCTCTACTAACAGGGAATGGGTTACTAACAGGGAATGGCTACTCCATAGCCAGGAGATTCCCGCTGGTAGCCCAGTGAGAATATTTCATCATCCTCGTGTGGCTACCTTTTGAATAGAAAACTAATCTTTTCCTTCTGCTTAGTGTTAGAAGCATAGTGTCAAAGAACATCCATTTTTACGTAGGACGTATGAAGACTTTTAAAAAATATTTGAATATGACTCAGCATTCATAGCCCAGTGGTTATGTCGCCATCCATATACACTGAGGGTGGAGGGTTCGAATCCGGCCTGGGCCAGCTAAACAGCTAAAAACAACTGCACCAAAAGAATAGCTGGGTGTTGTGGTGGGCGCCTGTAGTCCCAGCTACTTGAGAGGCTGAGGCAAGAGAATCGCTTAAGCCCAAGAGTTGGAGGTTGCTGTGAGTGAGCACGTCACTCTACTGAAAGTGACATAGTGAGACTCTGTCTCAAAAAAAAAAAAAAAAAAAACCCAAAACTTGAATATGAACAAAGTAGATGCTCCTTTAATTCAGGCTATTAAATGAGTTGGTGGCTAACTGTCTGGCTTTTCTAATGAGTTTGGTAAAGCCGTTAAAAGGAAAAGTCACATTTCAATGTTTGCACAGTAGAGTTCTCTTATTCATTAGCCTCTGTTCTACCTGAGAGGCTGTGTTCTTGCCCAAGTGGAAGTTTGCATTACTCAAAGCTTTCTGAGGGGAGAGTTTCCCATGTGAATGGGAGCTAGTGGTGACACTCCTTTGGGGACACCCAAGGGACTTACATTGCACTCACAGAGGCCTGAGCAGCCCAAAGCCCAGACAGAGCTGCTGTTTTCTGGTAAGGTGGTGCAACAAGCATCTGTCCACCCTGTTAATGGTGTGGAGCCTCAGTGTCCTCATCTGTAAAACAGGAACAAAAAATTATTTCTTCAGTATGTTTCACCACGAGGAGAGTGCAGGATCCTGTAGGGAGTACCGGGCAGAGGAGGTGTAGTTACTTAAGAAGATGGAATTGCCAGTCCACGGTATCTGTTTATAATTATTTTGATATTGAGTCTATTGGAAACAAATGTTTCAGAGCAATTGTTTCTTTATTTTTCTGTTCCCTGAGGACTTTCTATATCAGTCTAGCATTTGAGGGACTCTGAAGTCTCTTTGAGAGTTTTGTTGTATAGTTCTAACTTTGGGATTTGGGGAGGCTTACAGAAAGCAAGTGTCCCAGACATCCTGGTGGGAGAAGGGAGAGTGGGGGTGATCTCCTTTCTGGTAGGCCAGTGGTTCTCAATCTTCCTAATGCCTCCTGATGCCATGACCCTTTAATACTGTTCCTCATGTAGTGGTGACCCCCAACCATACAATTATTTTCGTTGCTACTTCATAACTGTAATTTTGCTACTGTTATGAATCATAATATAAACATTTGATATGCAGGATGTATTTTCATTGTTACAAAGGGGTCGCAACCCACAGGTTGAGAACCACTGTGGTGGGCAAAGATGCCTTCATTTCCTTGAGGGTAAAGGCCATTAATCACCAACAGGAAGGAAAGTGAAAGAGGAGACTGCTGCTGTGAAGATACCGTGAAAGCTGGACACCCAGAGCCAGCCACTGCTGGTTTTCTTTATTTGTATTTCTTACAGTGCTTGGCACATAGTAGGAATTTGGTAAATGTTTGCTCAGTGTGGACTTGGAGATTGACAGCTGGGGTGGCAGTAAATGGGAGGAGGGATGGACTGGTATGAATGTGGACGCAAGGTACAAATGAATTAGCCCCCATTCTTACTGCTTGCTTGACACAGTGAGACCTCCATCTTAGCTTCTAGTTATCCGCTAGTTTGTTTTCTCCATGGGGCTGCAGACTGTTTGTCTGGCTTTTGTGTTTTATTTTTGATCATATATATATATATATACACACATTATTTGTTTGTTTTTTGTTTTTTAGAGACAGAGTTTTACTTTGTTGCTCTTGGTAGATTGCTGTGGCATCACAGCTCACAGCAACCTCCAGCTCTTAGGCTTAAGTGATTCTCTTGCCTCAGACTCCTGAGTAGCTGGAAGTATAGGCACCTGCCACAATGCCTGGCTATTTTTTGTTGCTGTTTGGCTGGGGCCTGGTTCGAACTGACCATGCCCGGTATATGGGGCTGCCTTACTCACTGAGCCACAGGCGCCGTGTGTGTGTGTGTGTGTGTGTGTGTGTGTGTGTATATTTAATCTCCATCTCCAGCACAAGACCCACATGCATAGTAAATGCTTAATAAAAATTATTTACCTAAACAAAAATTGCTTAGCCTATAGTATGGATCTGTCATTTAGTGGTGGGGTGATCTTATAATATCAGCATTTGTAAAACTTTTTATAATTCAAAGTTCTAAGAACAGTAGTTAAGAGGTGGTATAACTCCCATTTTTCAGATGAGGAACTGAAGCTGAAAAAGTTTAGCCAGGACAGCACCTGTGGCTCAAAGGAGTAAGGTGCCGGCCCCATATGCCGGAGGTGGTGGGTTCAAACCCAGCTCCGGCCAAAAACTGCAAACAAACAAAAAAAATTTTTTTATTCACTTGCCATAGGTCAGATAGTCACTGAGTAAAGGAATCAAGACTTAAACGCAGATCTTCCTGGACCCCAAAGTCTCTCTCCTATATCCCACGCTAGGGGGTAAGCAGAGACCTTATCCTTGAGATAGTTTTAGTTGTCTTGGAGAGATGATAGTAATTAATAGAAAATTAGCATAAGAATATTATTTTACAAGTCAGATTCGATAGCAAATAGTTGATGAAGACAGTAAGTATAGTACAGTTCAGTTGAGAGAAGGCGCATTTTATCATCTGCTCTGGAAGAGACAGGCTTTGGGAAATGGGAAGAAATTTCATAGGTGAAGAGAGATAATGGCAAGATCTTCAGGTGTGAGGTGTTGATACTCATGAGAAACGCAGGCTTACGGGGATTTCATTGTTTTGTGAACATCACGGAGTCTACTTACGCGATCCTAGATGGTATAGCCCATCACATACCCAGGCTGTGTGGACAGCCTATTGCTTCTGGGCTACAAATCTGTACGGAATGTTACTGTGCTGAGTATGTAGGCAGTTGGAACGCAATGGCAAGTATTTGTGTATCTGAACATACCTAAACACAGATGAGGTACAGTAAAAACACAGTATTGTAATTTGATGGACAGCCTTCATATATGCCATCCATTGTTGCCTAAAGTGTCATGTGGTGCACACATGACTATGGCTTGATTTCAGAGTAAGAACTAACATTATGCAGTCTTCCTAGTCAGAGCCATCCTAGACCACCCTGGCTCAAACAGTAACTCCTGCCCCTTCTCCTTGCTCTCTGTCGTCCTACCTGCTCTGTTTGTGATCATAGCATCATCACCATGACATTGCATGACATTGCATGACATGAATTTATTACATTTTGTCTCTCCCCTTCCCCTGGAATATACATTCTGGGAGAGCAGGGGCTTTTTATCATTTCCCGTTGTAGCTTCAGCACCTGTCACAGATTCTGGTTCATCGTAATTGTATAAGAACTATTTGTGAAATGAATGAAGGACAAAGCATTAGAAAGTGGGGCTGCAAACTCCAAATAGGATGAGTTAGGTAAAGGAGATGAGGGAAACAATTGGGTTTTATTTTGTGATGGCAACTTAAGTTGTGTTTTTTTCTTTTTTAAATCAAAATATTCTTTTCTTGTGTGTGTTTTTATTCCCAGAAGGAAATATATTTATACCTGTTTTTCTTGAAATATGGGGCCCTCTGACCCATTTTGAGAGAGACGCGGGTACTAAATACCATTTCCTTTTTCCTAAGAGCAAAATTGCCATCTATGTGTGATGGTGGATGCCACCTAGCCCTGGACTTCAAGGTTGGGAAGGCAATAGGGACAAGGAAGGGCAGTGTTAAAGCAAAGGTATGTACTTCTCAAAAGGCCTGTTGTTATATTTTAATCCATTTTTAAATTATTAACAACTGATTCCAATTAGAAAAATACTATATAGATCTACACTGCCTAATCGAGGAGAAACACTTGTTCGAGCGCCTGTGTTTTATCTGTCTGTGACCTCTCTAGAAAAACAAGACAACTCTAAATAAAGTGTCCGGTATATTTTCCTCTTAAACTGCTCTGTAAGTGCTACTGTGTGCAGATTCCAAACCAAGCAGGAAGGTGCCATTATATTGTTTTGCTGACCATACATCCTAATCCAAAGACTGATTCAGCAGCTGGTCAAAATAGAAAGGACACATTCACAAAAAATAAACGTATTGATTATGTTTGAGACTTTTTTATTTGTTGTTGTGAAAGGAAAGGCACTCTCAGTTTGGGTATAGCAGGGAGTTTAGGGCTCAGCTACTGGTCTCTGCTCCTATCCGGGGCTGTGACAATGTAGCTTAACACTTGTGATCTGTATTCTTCCCACTTGCAGAATGGGGCTGGCAAGTTGTGAGTGCTCTGAGGGCAGTCCTGAAGGCATGGACCTGACTAAGGTGTGGTTTAGTCAACTCTTCATGGGGCTGGAGGATGGGACGTTCCCTTCCCCAGGTCACAGCAGGCTCCACTGCCCTTCTCTGTTCCTTGTCCTTATCAGGAAGTGTGTCTGTCTCCCTCCCTAAGACCCTTTTCTGGGTCATGATTGGTCAGATAGAAGGACTTCCCGCTGAGAGGTTTCACAGCAGAGGCTGGGTGGATAAATTGGACTCTGGAGGACCAAGGGGTTTGGGGCTGGCAGAAATGGAATCAGGTGTCCAGGGTGTGCTTGGGGCATTCCAGTGTGAATAAAAGGGGAGAGGTGACAAAGTCTAAGGCATGTGCAAAGAAGGCTGAATATTCCCCCATGGAGATCCAGGTCCTTAGAAACATGTCCCATAGGAGTAGTCCCTGTCGGTGAATTTATAATTTTAGTCGAAACAGGGGTAAAGAAAATCTGGGTTGTAAGTAAAACTGTTAAATTTTTGTCGTGTTTACAGAGAGTAAAATGAGAAAACAAAAGTAGATTATGAGTGACGTTTTACTCACCTTCTGTGGGTGTGCCGCAGTGAATTACCTGGACTTCTTACCGTTTCCCTGGTCATCACTCCCCTGCAGTGAGATGCTGCAGGTGGGTTTGTCTTTACACTCAGTGCACAATTCCCATCCCCCCACCTGTCAGGCTTTCTGTCCAAGAGTTCAGTGACTCCCGGGGTTCCCTGTGGTTCAAGGCTAAAGTGGATCAATCTTGGGATAAATTTCGTTTAACTATCTTGGCGTGACTGATTAGGACGTCCTCATACTTCTCACCTGTATTCAGTGTTGGGTCAAAGTGTAAGCCATCAATGACATGTTTTCATTTTGGGGGGCTTCCTTTAGCTTTCAGAAGCTTCTGTGCAAAAACCACTTTTCCTGCCTGCCATCTGCCTTACCCCCACCCCTTAAAAAAATCTGTTTCAAATCCCAGTTTCTGGCATTTTCTAATTATCCTTGACAGGAATGACCACAAGGCTATCAAAAATGTATTTTGAAATATGTTTAAATTGATCTTTGCTAATTGGTAATTCTTGGCTGGGAAAGTTTTCTTTGGTGGAGATTGGCCATGATGTTGAATATATGAAGATGAGCAGTCATTGTTCAAACTAGAAACACAAGTTTGGGCCAACCTGTGGAGGGACGAGAATGTCACGTATGATCATTGTGATGATGTTGGCGCTGATTCAGGACTGTCTTGGATGCAGATAAAAACAACAACAACAGCTCCCCAGCTGAACCCAAGAAAAATGCACTATTTCAAGCAAAAATAAATTTAGCTATGTCTTTGAGAATACAGGTGTGGCTGGATCCAGAGACTTAAATGATAACATCAGCACTCTTACCTGACACCTCATCTTCTTCACGTCCTCTCTCTGTGACACTAGAGATAATGAAGATGGTCACTGATATTCCCTGTGTTGAAAGGGATCTTCTCTCTTCTTCATATCTCCTTCTCAGGGAGTAACTTTGGTCCATATTAATCACATGTCTATGATGGTCCAATCTTTGTGACCAGGGCTAAGGTATACTTGGCTGGGGTAGTTCACAGGCTTATCTTTCTTTACTAGAAGAAGATAATTTGATAGGTAAATATACTAGGCTAACAGAAATAGTAACTGCCTCGATCTTAACTTGAAGAATTTTGGATTTTATTAAATGTAGGGTATTCCAGTCATTATGAGAGTTCTGAAGTATTTTATGAGTTAGTGCAAGATACTGTGAAGCATGCCTTTGATTGTGTATTTCAAATCTCATTTCACTTCTATGCTATTTCTTTCATTCAATGAGTATTGCTTCTTGTCTATACCCAAAGCACAAACGTAGGGGCAAGTGCATGCAGTGGTGACCAACACCATTGCTTCTGGCCCCCTTGCCATCTCTGCAACCGTAACCTGCTACTATAGCACTTTTACTTGACTGTACCTGAGATGGCTCCAATGTCACCATAAGGACCAGATATGTTGTCTCCTTCTCTCAGATATGCATTTATTTGTACGATTCTTATTTAAACATACAACTCTAGTAAATATATTTACAGAAAAGTAGACAAATCATTGCTCAATGAATTTTCCGATAGTAAATACATCCTTCTACTCTCTCCTAGCTATAATATTACCATTTCCCCAGAAATCAACCTATGAACCCTCCCAGTAAATACCCCCATTTTTGCATTGGTAACCAGGAACCTTTTTTGTTGTTGTTTTTATAAGAGATGGAGGGCTTCCTATGTTGGAGTTCATGTTGGCCATGAACTCCTGGGCTCAAGTGATTTTCCGAGTCACCCTTCCAGGCAGCTGCTGCTAACCTGATTTCCAACACTATAGCTTTTCACTGTTTAAATATATGAAATATGTGTGTAATCCTACATACATGTATGTGCCCTTTTCTGTTTTCTGGGTTCTTAAGCACAATATCCATGCAGTAGAGCATAGCAGTAGTTTATTCCTTTTTTTCTTGCTATACAGTAATATTCCACAAAGTATTATTCATCTATCTCGACAATTTGGGGACATTTGGATACTACTAGTTTAGGGATGTTATGAACAGTGCTGCCATGAATATTTTCTGCATGTTACATGGTACACACATGAATACATTTCTGTTTAGTACACACCTGAGACTGATGGGTCATGGGGTATGCATTTCTTCAGCTTTAACAACAGGTCCTTACTTACAAAGAGTTTGCCTAAGTGGGTCTGTCATTTTTTACTCTTAACATTAGTTCATGAGTGTTTTAGTTTCTCTATATTCTTGGCAAGACTTGGCCAAGAATTGTTAATTTTTGAATTTTAGCCATTCTGGTGGGTATGTAGTGGTATGTCATTCTGGTTTCAATTTGCATTTCTCTGGTGACTAATGATATTGTGTTTTTTAAACGTGCTGTTTTATCGCTTTTATGCAACTTTTAATAGTGCCTGTTCAAATTCTTTGCCTACTTTTCTATCGCATTGTTGATCTTTTTCTTGTTGAGTTGTAGGAACACATTCGCAATATGAATAGTTTTACTAGTCAAATGTATTTAACATAACCCTTCCCATCTCTAGTAGCCTGCCTTTCACTGTCTGTTGATGAATAGGAGATATTTTAACATAATCCAATTGATCTCTTCCTTTATGATTATTTTCCTCTATGCCTGCTTAAGAAATTTTTGCCTACCCTAAGGCTATGAAGCTATTCCATTTCCATTTTAAGAAGCCTTATTGTTTCGCCTTTTATCTTTAGGTCAATCCACCTGAGTTTTTCCTATGTAGGCATGGAAAAGACATCCATATTGATTTTCTTTTCCATGTGGATAGCAAATTAACCGGCATCACTTATTGAAAAAACCCTCATTTCCACTGCTCTGAAATGTTACTTTGTTATCAGTCAGGTGATCCTACATATGTGGGTCTGTCTCTGTGTTTTCTAGTTCATTTTCATTTTATACTTATGTATCCTAATACTGATGCCCCCCTGTCTTAAGTATGTGAACTTAATAATAAATTTTGATATCCAGTAGTGTATGGATATTCCAGCTTTGTTCTTATTTAAAAATAACTTGGTTATTCTTAGCCATTTGCATTATTGTATACTTTTTAAAATCACCTTTGGATAGGATTTTGATTGGATTCTGTTATATGTAGACCCAAATTGGGAATAAATTAATGTCTTTACAGTGTTGATTGTTTCAACCCATTAATATGGCATATCCGTCCATTTATGATCTTTCATTTCTGTTAGTGATTTTGTATCCATCTATGTTGTGAAAGTATTACACATCTTTTTAAAGATATATTTTTAAATATCTGAAGTTATTCGATGCTATTGTAAGTGGTAACTTTGAAAAATATATTTTATGAATTTTTTGCTGATACATAGAAAAACAATTGAGTTTTATTTGTTGACTTTGATTCTAGTGACTTTGCTGAATTCACTTATTAATCCTAATAATTCAGTGTAGGTGATTTTGAATTTTCCATGTGTTCTGTTAAACTACCTGCAAAAGTTTTTACTTTTTCCTTCCTAATCATTGTGATTTTTGTTATTTTTTTTTCCCTTGCCTGTTGCATTGGCCAGGTCTTCTAATATAATGGCAAATAGACGTGGTGATAGCAGGCGTCCTTGTCTCATTTCTTGAACTCCTGAACTCAAGCAATCCACCCACCTCGGCCTCCCAGAGTGCTAGAATTATAGGCACCAGCCACTGCACCCCACCCTTTGTCTTATTTCTAATCTTAGTGGAAAGGTTTTCAAAGTTTGACTATTAGATTATGATTGCTGTAAGTGTTTTTACAAATACCTTTCTGTCAGATTAAGCAAGTTCCCTTACATTTAAAATGGGCTAAGAGTGTTTTCATGAATGCTCTTGAATTTGACTCAATGCCTTAAAGCAATAGTTACATAGAATATCAGGCTCACCTTTGTCCCCACGCCCCTTTTCTCTTGGATCTTGGTCCCATGTATACTCATTGCTTTGGGAGCTCTTTTTAAAATATATGTTTTATCCACCTTTTTTAGTTATTCTTGAGAGTTGATATGTAACAAGCTGAATCCTCATTGTAGGAAGTGGTACCGTACATTCTAATTGTACTATTTTTGTCTTCCATCTACATGGTATGAGTAAAACTGTAAAACAACCCCCAAAGAATCTATCCAATTGTTATTCCTTTTACCTGTATTGCCTCTGGCTGGTGAGCTTTGTGAATAGATCTTTCATTTGTTAGGTTTTGCTAACTTAGGAAGAAAAGCCTATTGCTGCTCCAAATGTATAAATTATGGAGTCATATCAAGTTGCACTATATGTACACATAAGGCCTAATTTTAGGGTGTAAACATATTGATTTTTACCTGTTCTTTTAAAAAAAGAAAATAAAACAATGAGATCCCAAGAAATAAAACTGACATTCTTTTAAAAAAAAGCCAATAGGAGTGCTTTTCTTCCTGGGTCCCCTGGGAACATGTCATCCTCTTCATCTCTTAGTCATCCCCTTCTTGTGTATAAAAATTGGCAAGCTTCTCTGTCACTCCCACTTCTTTTCTAGCAGTCATACACTCTTTCATGCAAAATAAGAGAATAATAAAATTTTGCTTTTGCAGTCCCTACAGTCAGTAGTATGAGAAACTATCATCTTGTAACCCATCCTTACAAAATGTCGGTCCTCTCAGGTGAGAGGGGAGTTTATCTGGGATCTCAAGACCCCACCCCTAATGGTGGCTGTGTTACAGGACGACATTAGAATACAACCCAGTCTCCCTAGGCCTTCGTGTCACAAGGCTTAGACTTGTTCAAGGGACAGGAACAATTTTTATGTAAAGGGCTAAATAAGAAATATTTTAAGATTTGTGTGCCACTACTCAACTCTGCCATAGTACTGCAAGAAAGCGATCATAGGCAAGGAGTAAATAAGTGGGCATTTTTATTTATAAAACTTTATTAATAGCCACAAATTTGAATTTCATGCAATTTTTATGTGTCATAAAAGATTCTTCTTTGAACTTCTTTCAACCATCTAAAAATGTAAAAACCATTCTTAGCAAACAGATCACATAGAAACAGGCGGCAGGCTGGATTGGTCACATGGCCTCTAATTTACCAACCTTTGAGCTGGTTGATTGTCAAGGCCTATTCCACAGCTCTACGTTAGAGTTGATTTGCTAATCTCTTTTAGAAAATATTTTTTTCTGTCTCGTGAACATTGTTCAAAAGGCTCTATTCCTTTCTTTTGGATTAAGAAAAATAAAAGGTTTTCTTTTACTTTGATTCTTTCTCTGATGCTTGCTCTTTCTTTACGTAGATCCAAGTTTCTGACCTATATAATTTTCCTCTGCCAGAAGAACTTTTAGCATTTCTTGCATGGCAGGTCTGCTGGTGATGAATTTCCTCAGTTTTTGCTTGCCTGCGAAAGTCTTTGTTTTTCCTCCACTTTTGAAGCATAATTGCAGTAGATGTGGAATTCTAAGTGGGTGTTTTTTTTTTTCCTCAACATTTTAAGTATCTCACTCCATATTCCTGCCTGCATGGCTTTTGATGAGAAGGGCTCTGTAAATCACATCTTTGCTTTTCTATAGGTGAGGATCTGGCTTCTTTGAAGATTTTCTCTTTGTCTTTGGTTTTCCGCAATATGATCTATCTAGGTATAGGGGTTTGTTTATTTTAGGGGGGGATTTATTCTGATTGATGTTTCTGATCTTCCTGGATCTGAGGTTTGTTGCATGTTGTTAATTTTAGAAAGTTCTCAGTCATTATTTCTTCAAATATTTCTTTTTTTCCCTTTCTCTTTTTCTTCCCCACCTGGAGTTCTGATTATACTCTTTGATATTGTTCCACGGTTCTGGAATTTTCTGTTCTGATTTTTTAAATTTATTTTCCCTTATTTCTCTTTCTCTTTTTAGTTTGGAAATTTCCTATTGACCTTCAACCTTATTGATTCTTTCTTGACCATTTGGTCATGAGCTCGTGAAAGGAATTCTTCACTTGTAGCAAGTTGTTTGGTTTT